GCGGCGTTAAACCCAACTCACTCACTCACTCACTAGTCTCACTCACTCACTCACTCTCACTACATACTTTCAGCTACTAGTCTCACTCACTCACTCTCACTATACATTTTCAGCTACTAGTCTCACTCACTCACTCACTCAGTCACTCTCACTATACATTTTAAGCTACTAGTCTCACTCACTCACTCAGTCACTCTCACTATACATTTTCAGATACTAGTCTCACTCACTCACTCACTGTCACTATATATTTTCAGCTACTAGTCTCACTCAATCACTCTTACTATATATTTTCAGCTACTAGTCTCACTCACTCACTCTCACTATATATTTTCAGCTACTAGTCTCACTCATTCACACACTCTCACTATATATTTTCAGCTACTAGTCTCACTCACTCACTCACTCTAACTATATATTTTCAGCTACTAGTCTCACTCACTCACTCTCACTACATATTTTCAGCTACTAGTCTCACTCACTCACTCTCACTATATATTTTCAGCTACTAGTCTCACTCACTCACTCTCACTATATATTTTCAGCTACTAGTCTCACTCACTCACTCTCACTATATATTTTCAGCTACTAGTCTCACTCACTCACTCTCACTATATATTTTCAGCTACTAGTCTCACTCACTCACACACTCTCACTATATATTTTCAGCTACTAGTCTCACTCACTCACTCACTCACTCTAACTATATATTTTCAGCTACTAGTCTCACTCACTCACACACTCTCACTATACATTTTCAGCCATTAGTCTCACTCACTCACTCACTCACTCTCACTATACATTTTCAGCTACTAGTCTCACTCACTCACTCACTGTCACTATATATTTTCAGCTACTAGTCTCACTCACTCACTGTCACTATATATTTTCAGCTACTAGTCTCACTCACTCACTGTCACTATACATTTTCAGATACTAGTCTCACTCACTCACTCACTGTCACTATATATTTTCAGCTACTAGTCTCACTCAATCACTCTTACTATATATTTTCAGCTACTAGTCTCACTCACTCACTCTCACTATATATTTTCAGCTACTAGTCTCACTCATTCACACACTCTCACTATATATTTTCAGCTACTAGTCTCACTCACTCACTCACTCTAACTATATATTTTCAGCTACTAGTCTCACTCACTCACTCTCACTACATATTTTCAGCTACTAGTCTCACTCACTCACTCTCACTATATATTTTCAGCTACTAGTCTCACTCACTCACTCTCACTATATATTTTCAGCTACTAGTCTCACTCACTCACTCTCACTATATATTTTCAGCTACTAGTCTCACTCACTCACTCTCACTATATATTTTCAGCTACTAGTCTCACTCACTCACACACTCTCACTATATATTTTCAGCTACTAGTCTCACTCACTCACTCACTCTAACTATATATTTTCAGCTACTAGTCTCACTCACTCACACACTCTCACTATACATTTTCAGCCATTAGTCTCACTCACTCACTCACTCACTCTCACTATACATTTTCAGCTACTAGTCTCACTCACTCACTCACTGTCACTATATATTTTCAGCTACTAGTCTCACTCACTCACTGTCACTATATATTTTCAGCTACTAGTCTCACTCACTCACTGTCACTATATATTTTCAGCTACTAGTCTCACTCACTCACTCTCACTATATATTTTCAGCTACTAGTCTCACTCACTCACTCACTCACTCACTGTCACTATATATTTTCAGCTACTAGTCTCACTCAATCACTGTCACTATATATTTTCAGCTACTAGTCTCACTCACTCACTGTCACTATATATTTTCAGCTACTAGTCTCACTCACTCACTCTCACTATATATTTTCAGCTACTAGTCTCACTCACTCACTCACTCACTCACTGTCACTATATATTTTCAGCTACTAGTCTCACTCACTCACTGTCACTATATATTTTCAGCTACTAGTCTCACTCACTCACTCTCACTATATATTTTCAGCTACTAGTCTCACTCACTCACTCACTCTCACTATACATTTTCAGCTTTTAGTCTCACTCACTCTCTCACTCTCTCTCACTATATATTTTCAGCTACTAGTCTCACTCTATCACTCACTCTCACTATACATTTTCAGCTTTTAGTCTCACTCACTCACTCACTCACTCTCACTATATATTTTCAGCAACTAGTCTCACTCACTCACGCTCACTATATATTTTCAGCTACTAGTCTCACTCACTCACTCACTCTCACTATATATTTTCAGCTACTAGTCTCACTCACTCACTCTCACCATATATTTTCAGCTACTAGTCTCACTCACTCACTCTCACTATACATTTTCAGCTACTAGTCTCACTCACTCACTCACTCAGTCACTCTCACTATACATTTTCAGCTACTAGTCTCACTCATTCACTCACTCTCACTATACATTTTCAGCTACTATACTCACTCACTCACTCACTGTCACTATATATTTTTAGCTACTAGTCTCACATATCACTCTTACTATATATTTTCAGCTACTAGTCTCACTCACTCACTCTAACTATATATTTTCAGCTACTAGTCTCACTCATTCACACACTCTCACTATATATTTTCAGCTACTAGTCTCACTCACTCACTCACTCTAACTATATATTTTCAGCTACTAGTCTCACTCACACACTCTCACTATATATTTTCAGCTACTAGTCTCACTCACTCACTCACTCTAACTATATATTTTCAGCTACTAGTCTCACTCACTCTCACTATATATTTTCAGCTACTAGTCTCACTCACTCACTCTCACTACATATTTTCAGCTACTAGTCCCACTCACTCACTCTCACTATATATTTTCAGCTACTAGTCTCACTCACTCACTCTCACCATATATTTTCAGCTACTAGTCTCACTCACTCACTCTCACTATACATTTTCAGCTACTAGTCTCACTCACTCACTCACTCACTCTCACTATACATTTTCAGCTACTAGTCTCACTCACTCACTCTCACTACATACTTTCAGCTACTAGTCTCACTCACTCACTCTCACTATACATTTTCAGCTACTAGTCTCACTCACTCACTCACTCACTCACTCTCACTATACATTTTCAGCTACTAGTCTCACTCACTCACTCACTCAGTCACTCTCACTATACATTTTCAGCTACTAGTCTCACTCACTCACTCACTGTCACTATATATTTTCAGCTACTAGTCTCACTCAATCACTGTCACTATATATTTTCAGCTACTAGTCTCACTCTCTCACTCTAACTATATATTTTCAACTACTAGTCTCACTTATTCACACACTCTAACTATATATTTTCAGCTACTAGTCTCACTCACTCACTCACTCTGACTATATATTTTCAGCTACTAGTCTCACTCACTCTCACTATATATTTTCAGCTACTAGTCTCACTCACTCACTCTCACTACATTTTTTCAGCTACTAGTCTCACTCACTCACTCTCACTATATATTTTCAGCTACTAGTCTCACTCACTCACTCTCACTATATATTTTCAGCTACTAGTCTCACTCACTCACTCTCACTATATATTTTCAGCTACTAGACTCACTCACTCACACACTCTCACTATATATTTTCAGCTACTAGTCTCACTCACTCACTCACTCTCACTATATATTTTCAGCTACTAGTCTCACTCACACACTCTCACTATATATTTTCAGCTACTAGTCTCACTCACTCACTCACTCTGACTATATATTTTCAGCTACTAGTCTCACTCACTCTCACTATATATTTTCAGCTACTAGTCTCACTCACTCACTCTCACTACATTTTTTCAGCTACTAGTCTCACTCACTCACTCTCACTATATATTTTCAGCTACTAGTCTCACTCACTCACTCTCACTATATATTTTCAGCTACTAGTCTCACTCAATCACTCTCACTATATATTTTCAGCTACTAGTCTCACTCACTCACACACTCTCACTATATATTTTCAGCTACTAGTCTCACTCACTCACTCACTCACTAACTCACTCTCACTATATATTTTCAGCTACTAGTCTCACTCACTCACACACTGTCACTATACATTTTCAGCCATTAGTCTCACTCACTCACTCACTCACTCTCACTATACATTTTCAGCTACTAGTCTCACTCACTCACTCACTGTCACTATATATTTTCAGCTACTAGTCTCACTCACTCACTCTCACTATACATTTTCAGCTACTAGTCTCACTCACTCACTGTCACTATATATTTTCAGCTACTAGTCTCACTCACTCACTGTCACTATATATTTTCAGCTACTAGTCTCACTCACTCACTCACTCACTCACTCACTGTCACTATATATTTTTAGCTACTAGTCTCACTCACTCACTGTCACTATATATTTTCAGCTACTAGTCTCACTCACTCACTCTCACTATATATTTTCAGCTACTAGTCTCACTCACTCACTCACTCTCACTATACATTTTCAGCTACTAGTCTCACTCAATCACTCTTACTATATATTTTCAGCTACTAGTCTCACTCACTCACTCTCACTATATATTTTCAGCTACTAGTCTCACTCACTCACACACTCTCACTATATTTTCAGCTACTAGTCTCACTCACTCACTCACTCTAACTATATACTTTCAGCTACTAGTCTCACTCACTCACTCTCACTATACATTTTCAGCTACTAGTCTCACTCACTCACTCACTCTCACTATATATTTTCAGCTACTAGTCTCACTCACTCACTGTCACTATATATTTTCAGCTACTAGTCTCACTCACTCACTGTCACTATATATTTTCAGCTACTAGTCTCACTCACTCACTCTAACTATATATTTTCAGCTACTAGTCTCACTCACTCACTCTCACTATATATTTTCAGCTACTAGTCTCACTCACTCACTCTAACTATATATTTTCAGCTACTAGTCTCACTCACTCACTCTCACTATATATTTTCAGCTACTAGTCTCACTGTCACTCTCACTATATATTTTCAGCTACTAGTCTGCTTGAAAGGAAGGATGTAGTGACAGAAATCAAGGCAAAGTTCCTTAAAACCTACAAGGTAAGAAGGGGGAGGACAACAACATGTTGAAGACTTGCCCGAAGTGCATCCTCGATTATCCAGTGTACTTGTGCATTCTATTAGGATAAATACCCCTGACCCAATCCATGCCGTAGCTTAATTGTTGTGGAAGTGATATGACTATCTCCCACACAGACATACACACAGGCACACACAGACATACATATAGAGGCACACACAGACATACACACAGGCACACAAACATACACACAGACATATACACAGAGGCACACACAGACATACACACAGCCATACACACAGAGGCACACATAGACATACACACAGAGGCACACACAGACATACACCCAGACATACACACAGAGGCACACACAGACATACACACAGACAAACACAGAGAGGCACACACAGACATACACATAGACATACACACATACATACACACAGAGGCACACACAGACATACACCCAGACATACACACAGAGGCACACACAGACATACACACAGACAAACACAGAGAGGCACACACAGACATACACATAGACATACACACATGCATACACACAGAAGCACACACAGACATACACATAGACATACACACAGAGGCACACACAGACATACACATAGACATACACACATACATACACAGAGGCACACACAGACATACACATAGACATACACACAGAGGCACACACAGACGTACACACAGACATACACAGAGGCACACACAGACATACACCCAGACATACACACAGACATACACAGAGACATACACATAGACATACACATAGACATACACACAGACATACACACAGAGGCACACACAGACATACACACAGACATACACATAGACATACACACAGAGATACACACACAGACAAACACACAGAGGCACACACAGACATACACCCAGACATACACACATACATACACAGAGGCACACACAGACATACACACAGAGGCACACACAGACATACACATAGACATACACACATACATACACATAGACATACACACAGAGATACACATAGACATACACACAGAGGCACACACAGACATACACATACAGACATACATACACATAGACATACACACAGACATACACATAGACATACACACAGAGGCACACACAGACATACACACAGAGGCACACACAGACATACACATAGACATACACACATACATACACATAGACATACACACAGACATACACATAGACATACACACAGAGGCACACACAGACATACACACAGACATACACACAGACATACACCAAGACATACACACAGACATACACAGAGACATACACAGAGGCACACACAGACATACACACAGACAAACACAGAGAGGCACACACAGACATACACACATACATACACATAGACATACACACAGACATAGACATACACACAGAGGCACACACAGACATACACACAGACATACACACAGAGGCACACACAGACATACACCCAGACATACACACAGACATACACAGAGACATACACAGAGGCACACACAGACATACACACAGATATACACACAGAGGCACACACAGACATACACACATACATACACAGAGGCACACACAGACATACACACAGAGGCACACACAGACATACACACAGAGGCACACACAGACAAACACACAGAGGCACACACAGACATACACCCAGACATACACACATACATACACAGAGGCACACACAGACATACACATAGACATACACACAGAGATACACACAGAGGCACACCCAGACATACACACAGACATACACATAGACATACACACATACATACACACATACATACACACATACATACACATAGACATACACACATACATACACACATACATACACACAGACATACACACAGAGGCACACCCAGACATACACACAGACATACACACAGAGGCACACACAGAGGCACACACAGACATACACACAGACATACACACATACATACACACAGACATACACAGAGACATACACAGAGACATACACAGAGGCACACACAGACATACACACAGATATACACACATACATACACACAGAGGCACACACAGACATATACACAGACATACACACATACATACACAGAGGCACACACAGACATACACACAGAGGCAAACACAGACATACACACAGAGGCACACACAGAGGCACACACAGACATACACACAGAGGCACACACAGAGGCACACACAGACATACACCCAGACATACACACAGACATACACAGAGGCACACACAGACATACACACAGATATACACACATACATACACACAGGCACACACAGACATACACACAGACATACACACATACATACACAGAGGCACACACAGACATACACACAGAGGCACACACAGACATACACACAGAGGCACACACAGAGGCACACACAGACAAACACACAGACATACACACAGACATACACACATACATACACAGAGGCACACACAGACATACACACAGAGATACACACAGAGGCACACCCAGACATACACACAGAGGCACACACAGACATACACACAGAGGCACACACAGACAAACACACAGAGGCACACACAGACATACACCCAGACATACACACATACATACACAGAGGCACACACAGACATACACACAGACATACACACAGAGGCACACACAGACAAACACACAGAGGCACACACAGACATACACCCAGACATACACACATACATACACAGAGGCACACACAGACATACACATAGACATACACACAGAGATACACACAGAGGCACACCCAGACATACACACAGACATACACATAGACATACACACATACATACACACATACATACACACATACATACACATAGACATACACACATACATACACACATACATACACACAGACATACACACAGAGGCACACCCAGACATACACACAGACATACACACAGAGGCACACACAGAGGCACACACAGACATACACACAGACATACACACATACATACACACAGACATACACAGAGACATACACAGAGACATACACAGAGGCACACACAGACATACACACAGATATACACACATACATACACACAGAGGCACACACAGACATATACACAGACATACACACATACATACACAGAGGCACACACAGACATACACACAGAGGCAAACACAGACATACACACAGAGGCACACACAGAGGCACACACAGACATACACACAGAGGCACACACAGAGGCACACACAGACATACACCCAGACATACACACAGACATACACAGAGGCACACACAGACATACACACAGATATACACACATACATACACACAGGCACACACAGACATACACACAGACATACACACATACATACACAGAGGCACACACAGACATACACACAGAGGCACACACAGACATACACACAGAGGCACACACAGAGGCACACACAGACAAACACACAGACATACACACAGACATACACACATACATACACAGAGGCACACACAGACATACACACAGAGATACACACAGAGGCACACCCAGACATACACACAGAGGCACACACAGACATACACACAGAGGCACACACAGACAAACACACAGAGGCACACACAGACATACACCCAGACATACACACATACATACACAGAGGCACACACAGACATACACACAGAGATACACACAGAGGCACACACAGACATACACACAGACATACACACAGAGATACACACAGAGGCACACCCAGACATACACACATACATACACAGAGGCACACACAGACATACACATAGACATACACACATACATACACACATACATACACACATACATACACAGAGGCACACACAGACAAACACACAGAGGCACACACAGACATACACCCAGACATACACACATACATACACAGAGGCACACACAGACATACACATAGACATACACACATACATACACACATACATACACACATACATACACACAGACACCATCTCATTCACCAATAGAGAAATAAATTTGGTATGACAATGACAGGAATTTCCTTTCTTGTTTGGAACTTTCCTATTTGAACAATAACACTGTAGCTCACTAGATAGAAAATGAAGCGATCCAGAATGAAAAGAAAGTGGCCACAGACTTACTAACTGAATATTTCACTGACTGCTGATAAAGGTCAGCATCTGTACCTGTCGTAAACGTACTTCTCTGTGACAGACGGGGCTGATGTTCTGGCCCTTCGTCCAGACAGTCAACTACTCGGCTGTCCCCCACCTCTACAAGCCGGTGTTTGTGGCCGGCGCATCCTTCATGTGGAGTCTCTTCCTCTGCTTCATGAAAGAAGATCCTGTGAGTGACCTGACATCATCCGGTACTATGTTACTATGGTAACATTGTGACATAATCCTGTACTATGTAACCATGGTAATGCTGTGACATTCTGTACTATGTTACCATGGTAATACTGTGACATAATCCTGTACTATGTAACCGTGGTAACACCGCGACACCCTGTACAATGTTGCCATAATAATCCTGTGACATCATCCTTCACCATGTAACCATGGTAACTCTGACATAATCCTGTACTATGTAAGCATGGGAAAACTGTGATATCACCCTGCGCTATATAACCATGGCAACAGTGTAACATCATCTTGTACTAAGTAACCTTGGTAACACTGTGACATCATCCTGTACTATGTAACCATGGTTACTATGTGACATCACAGTGCACTATGTAACCATGGCAACAGTGTGGCATTGTCCTGTTATGTATCAATGACACAAGGGGAATAACACTTTGATACAAGGAGATTGACACTATGACACAAGGGGACTGACTCAAGGGGACTGACACTATGACACAAGGGGACTGACACAAGGGGTCTGACACAAGGAGACTGACACAAGGGGACTGACACTATGGCACAAGGGGTCTGACTCAAGGGGATTGACACAAGGAGACTGACACAAGGGGACTGACACAAGGGGTCTGACACTATGACACAAGGGGTCTGACACAAGGGGACTGACACTATGACTCAAGGGGACTGACACTATGACACAAGGGGACTGACACAAGGTGTCTGACACAAGGGGACACTTACACAAGGAGACTGACACAAGGGGACTGACACTATGACACAAGGGGTCTGACACTATGACACAAGAGGTCTGACACAAGGAGACTGACACAATCGGACTGACACTATGACACAAGGGGTCTGACTCAAGGAGACTGACACTATGACACAAGGGGTCTGACACAAGGGGACTGACACTATGACACAAGGGGTCTGACTGAAGGGGACTGACACTATGACACAAGGGGACTGACACAAGGGGTCTGACACAAGGGGTCTGACACAAGGAGACTGACACAAGGGGACTGACACTATGACACATGGGGACTGACACAAGGGGTCTGACTCAAGGGGACTGACACTATGACACAAGGGGTCTGACTCAAGGGGACTGACACTATGACACAAGGGGACTGACACAAGGGGTCTGACTCAAGGGGACTGACACTATGACACAAGGGGTCTGACACAAGGGGTCTGACACAAGGGGTCTGACACAAGGAGACTGACACAAGGGGACTGACACTATGACACAAGGGGTCTGACTCAAGGGGACTGACACTATGACACAAGGGGACTGACACAAGGGGTCTGACTCAAGGGGACTGACACTTTGACACAAGGGGAGAGTAATAACACTATGACACAAGGGGACTGACACTATGGTACAAGGGAACTGACGCTACGACACAAGAGGTTGGTCTAACACTATGAGTCCCTCCTCTATACCTAAGATGTTTGTATCAGGAAAACTATTTAATGATATGAAGGAATATTCATATGTTTTTCCTTTTCCTTAGAACAAAGTGAATGCACAAAAACCCAAGTCCAGTTAACACCGGGTAGGATTAGTGAGACGTCTAGTAGCTGGTTTCACTGCTCATCAAGTGACACGGCATTCAACACCACCAACAGCTTGGGTCATTGCTCATCTAGTAACTCCAGACATCATCACCACCAACAGCTGGGGTCATTGCTCGTCTAGTTACTCCAGAGATCAACACCACCAACAGCTGGGGTCATTGCTTGTCTAGTAACTCCAGACACCAACAGCTGGGGTCATTGCTCATCTAGTAACTCCAGACACCAACAGCTTGGGTCATTGCTCGTCTAGTAACTCCAGACACCAACAGCTTGGGTCATTGCTCATCTAGTTACTCCAGAGATCAACACCACCAACAGCTTGGGTCATTGCTCGTCTAGTTACTCCAGAGATCAACACCACCAACAGCTGGGGTCATTGCTCATCTAGTTACTGCAGAGATCAACACCACCAACAGCTTGGGTCATTGCTCGTCTAGTTACTCCAGAGATCAACACCACCAACAGCTGGGGTCATTGCTCATCTAGTAACTCCAGACATCATCACCACCAACAGCTGGGGTCATTGCTTGTCTAGTTACTCCAGAGATCAACACCACCAACAGCTGGGGTCATTGCTCGTCTAGTAGCTCCAGACATCAACAGCTGGGGTCATTGCTCGTCTAGTTACTCCAGAGATCAACACCACCAACAGCTGGGGTCATTGCTCATCTAGTTACTGCAGAGATCAACACCACCAACAGCTGGGGTCATTGCTCGTCTAGTAACTCCAGACATCAACAGCTGGGGTCATTGCTCATCTAGTAACTCCAGACATCAACACCACCAACAGCTTGGGTCATTGCTCGTCTATTAACTCCAGAGATCAACACCACCAACAGCTGGGTCATTGCTCGTCTAGTAACTCCAGACATCAACAGCTTGGGTCATTGCTCATCTGGTAACTCCAGACATCAACACTACAACCATCTGTTTTGAGCTGGTCCTGAAACTGTTACTAATCCCAGGCTACAACTGATTAGCACTCCAGCTGTCCCCAAATTGTTCTGTATTCCGTAGACCTTGTAGTGTGAGATAAAACCTTCTAAGTCCGATGGATCTGTAAGTAGGGTTGTGTCCCTACACGTTGCGTGGTAGTTTTGTCCGTTCCAAATTCAATTTTTAGGCATCAAGTACCCAGAAACACATAATGGCGATCTCCAGATCCAGTGACTTGGTGTTTCCAGGTTTGTCATACTTAAACACCAAATATATATATATATATATGTTTTAAATCCAACATTCCCACCGGGTAGTTAGTCAGATTTAGTCATCTTGTTAATTTATTACTTCTCCCCGGAGGATGGTTACTTCTGGTTGGTGTCTTCATATTATACAAATATTTATACAGTTATGTTATATGTGGATATTTTATTATATTTATACAGTTATGTCATATGTGGATATTTTGTTATATTTATACAACAAGATTTGTCGTTTTCATATAAAATGTTTTACTATTGTGCTGAGGAGCTTGAAAGCTGGGGTCAAAACTGAAATGTTATACTATTGTTGGAAGGACCATGAAAGCTGGGGTCAAAACTGAAATGTTTTACTATGGTGAGGTGAGGTGAAATTGGGTTTAACGTCGCGTCCAAGATTATTGCACTTATATAGCGACGTTGTTTTACTATGGCTCGTAGGACCATGAAAGCTGGAGTCAAAAATGAAATGTTTTACTATTGTTTGAGGGACCATGAAAGCTTGGCTCAAAACTGAAATGTTTACTATGGCTTGTAGGACCATGAAAGCCGGGGTCAAAATTGAAATGTTTTACTATTGTTGGAAGGACCATGAAAGCGTAGGACAAGGCTGAAATAATTTACTATTGCTCGTAGGACCATGAAAGGGTTGGTCAAGGCTGAAATGTTTTACTATTGTTGGAAGGACCATGAAAGCGTAGGACAAGGCTGAAATGTTTTACTATTGCTGGTAGGACCATGAAAGCGTAGGACAAGGCTGAAATGTTTTACTATTGCTCATAGGACCTTGAAAGCGGGGGTCAAGGCTGAAATGTTTTACAATTGTTGGAAGGACCATGAAAGCAGAGGTCAAGGCTGAAATGTTTTACTATTGCTCGTAGGACATTGAAAGCAGGGGTCAAGGCTGAAATGTTTTACAATTGTTGGAAGGACCATGAAAGCAGAGGACAAGGCTGAAATGTTTTACTATTGCTGGTAGGACCATGAAAGCGTAGGACAAGGCTGAAATGTTTTACTATTGCTCATAGGACCTTGAAAGCGGGGGTCAAGGCTGAAATGTTTTACAATTGTTGGAAGGACCATGAAAGCAGAGGTCAAGGCTGAAATGTTTTACTATTGCTCGTAGGACCTTGAAAGATTGGGGTCAAGGCTGAGTTTTACCCAGTCAGGTCAATTTAGAGTTATGCAACTTTGGAAGCAATACGGATTTGTTTACACAAGGTGTAAAGATATTTTAGACAATTCTTTACAACATATTTCTTATATTATGGAAAATATATATTTTAGTGAACTGAATTTTCTTTACTTTTCATTGTCTGCATATTAATGTTGCGTTTGAACATATTTTATAATGCTGACTCAGGATAATGTGGAACAAGCATGTCTTGATGGTAGTGTTTGACTGAACCTGTGATGATGTGATGTATGTCTTGATGGTAGTGTTTGACTGAACCTGTGATGATGTGATGTATGTCTTGATGGTAGAGGGCGGTCGGGTAGCCTAGTGGTTAAAGCGTTCGCTCGTCACGCCGGAGACCCTGGTTTGATTCCCAACATGGGTACAATGTGTGAAGCCCATTTCTGGTGTCCCCCGTCGTGATATTGCTGGAATATTGCTAAAAGCGGCGTAAAACCATACTCACTCACTCACTCACTTGATGGTAGTGTTTGACTGAACCTGTGATGATGTGATGTATGTCTTGATGGTAGAGGGCAGTCGAGTAGCCTAGTGGTTAAAGCGTTCGCTCGTCACGCCGAAGACCCGGGTTTGATTCCCGACATGGGTACAATGTGTGAAGCCCATTTCTGGTGTCCCCCGTCGTGATATTGCTGGAATATTGCTAAAAGCGGCGTAAAACCATACTCACTCACTCACTCACTTGATGGTAGTGTTTGACTGAACCTGTGATGACGTGATGTATGTCTTGATTGTAGTGTTTGACTGAACCTGTGATGACGTGATGTATGTCTTGATGGTAGTGTTTGACTGAACCTGTGATGACGTGATGTATGTCTTGATTGTAGTGTTTGACTGAACCTGTGATGACGTGATGTATGTCTTGATTGTAGTGTTTGACTGAACCTGTGATGACGTGATGACGTGATGTATGTCTTGATGGTAGTGTTTGACTGAACCTGTGATGACGTGATGTATGTCTTGATTGTAGTGTTTGACTGAACCTGTGATGACGTGATGTATGTCTTGATTGTAGTGTTTGACTGAACCTGTGATGACGTGAAGTATGTCTTGATGGTAGTGTTTGAGTGAACCTGTGATGACGTGATGTATGTCTTGATTGTAGTGTTTGACTGAACCTGTGATGACGTGATGTATGTCTTGATTGTAGTGTTTGACTGAACCTGTGATGACGTGATGACGTGATGTATGTCTTGATGGTAGTGTTTGACTGAACCTGTGATGACGTGATGTATGTCTTGATTGTAGTGTTTGACTGAACCTGTGATGACGTGATGTATGTCTTGATTGTAGTGTTTGACTGAACCTGTGATGACGTGAAGTATGTCTTGATGGTAGTGTTTGAGTGAACCTGTGATGACGTGATGTATGTCTTGATTGTAGTGTTTGACTGAACCTGTGATGACGTGATGTATGTCTTGATTGTAGTGTTTGACTGAACCTGTGATGACGTGATGTATGTCTTGATGGTAGTGTTTGACTGAACCTGTGATGACGTGATGTATGTCTTGATGGTAGTGTTTGACTGAACCTGGGATGACATGATGCATGTCTTGATGGTAGTGTTTGACTGAACTTGTGATGACGTGATGCATGTCTTGATGGTAGTGTTTGACTGAACTTGTGATGATGTGATGCATGTCTTGATGGTAGTGTTTGACTGAACCTGTGATGATGCAATGTATGTCTTGATGGTAGTGTTTGACTGAACCTGTGATGACGTGATGTATGTCTTGATGGTAGTGTTTGACTGAACCTGTGATGACGTGATGTATGTCTTGATTGTAGTGTTTGACTGAACTTGTGATGACGTGATGTATGTCTTGATTGTAGTGTTTGACTGAACCTGTGATGACGTGATGTATGTCTTGATTGTAGTGTTTGACTGAACCTGTGATGACGTGATGTATGTCTTGATTGTAGTGTTTGACTGAACCTGTGATGACGTGATGTATGTCTTGATGGTAGTGTTTGACTGAACCTGTGATGACGTGATGTATGTCTTGATGGTAGTGTTTGACTGAACCTGGGATGACGTGATGCATGTCTTGATGGTAGTGTTTGACTGAACTTGTGATGATGTGATGCATGTCTTGATGGTAGTGTTTGACTGAACCTGTGATGATGCAATGTATGTCTTGATGGTAGTGTTTGACTGAACCTGTGATGACGTGATGTATGTCTTGATGGTAGTGTTTGACTGAACCTGTGATGACGTGATGTATGTCTTGATGGTAGTGTTTGACTGAAGTTGTCATTCAATGCCTCTATCTCAGGGTTATAGCTGGTGCAGTTCCTGTTGGAAACATTACACCGATGAACAACCTCCAAGTGAATGTGGTGGATAGTACTCACAGCCTTTGTTATCACTCTCAACACAATGTTGAACAAATACTTGTATTGTTGCTTACTTGTTTCTTGTTTATATTTTTCCATTAGTTGTTTATTTCATTGTTGGCATGTCTGTGATTACTCTATTGATTTTATGTCATAACCTAATTACTACATGGTGTGTTTTTGTGACTCCATGTCATAACATAATTACTACATGGTGTGTTTTTTGACTCCATGTTATAACATCATTACTACATGGTGTGTTTTTGTTACTCCATGATATAACAAAGACTACATGGTAGATGTGACTTTAACACAATACTTTTGTAAAATGTGGTGACTTCATGTTATAACACAAGCCTTCGAGCATGTCGAGATAATGTAACGACTTCAAGTTATAACAAGATTTCAGTGCGATGTTACTTCATGTTATAACACATGACTTCAGTATGAATTAGTTACTTCATGGAACAAATGTTATATTTGGGAGAACACTGTCTGATTAAAGTACAGATTCAGTACAGATCACCAGCGCACAAAGTCAGAAATTTTTATCTAAAATATAACATTTGTTACATTTGACCACACTCTAAGTGGCATTGTGTGTTCATAGTGACTGCATGTTATAACATGAGTCTTTGGTATAGTGTAGCGACTTCATGATATAACACAGTACTTTTGTATAATGTAGCGACTTCATGTTATAACAAGACTTGTAAAATGTAGTTACTTCATGTTATAACACAAGTCTTCGAGATAATGTAGCAACTTCATGTTATATCAAGACTTGTAAAATGTAGATATTTCATGTTAAAACTTGACTTTATGATATAAAACAGTGACTTTGTGTTATAACATTATGTGTTGTATCATCTGGATTTTCTTTAATGACAGTGAGATCATGTAGTAACTGTGTTATACCATGGCTTCATGTGGACAGTATGGCTTCATACAAGGAGACTGTTTCACAGTGACTTCACATTATAACATGATGAGTTGCTTCAGCCTCAGGACTTTGTGTTTTATACCATGCTGTCATGTTGTACCTGCTCGGTGGTGTATGCAATGTGGTTCTCTCATCTTCTCCAGGCAGGGGAGTTA